TACCAGATGCCTAATGAGATCAGGTAAAGACCTAATTCAAGGAAACCTTTTAGCTCTTTGTGACTTAACGTGTCATGAGAGCTTTTTCACAGGAGACAAATTCCTTGTGTGTCCACCACACTTGGCCAATAAATATTTCTATTCTATTCTGTTCTGTTCTGCTCTGCTCTGCTCTGCTCTGCTCTGCTCTACTCTACTCTATTCTATGCTATGTAAACTCACACATTTAGTTAGTTTTAATTCTATGTGTATAATCCAGAAAATGCATTAATCTAAGATCCAGATTATAACTATATAATTATACAGATCTGGATAGCTCAAGATATGTGACTGCCTCAGTCAAAGAGTAAGAGGACTTCCTTCTTCAGGCAGATATAGGTAGCCCTGGACTGGTAGGAAAATCTTTGCTACAGCAAATGTTTCTCTTCAAGACCTGAGACAGACAACTGGTTTAAGGGGGCTCACAGAGAAGGCTGTGGGGAGTGAGCTGCAACAGACAAAACATCAGGAAAACCAAGCATCAACAGCCAGAAAGTTGCCACTGCTATCTCCTTCTCCAGCACTTGCCTCCAGAGGTGGTTGCCCCCTGCTGTCATCTGTAAGGACACCAAGTTCAAATTCCTAAAAAATGAAAGAGGCGGGGAACTTAAAATCACTGTATCAACTCTGAACTACTAACATTCCCTGTTCTAGGCCTACCTGACATGCAGACATTACAATTGCAATTCAAGCTGATAGTGGTCACCTATCAATGTCCTGGATATTTGTGGGGCTACCTTCTCCCAATCTGCCCATTGCTTGGAATCTGGAGGAGAAGACTCTTCCCAGGTCCCATTCTTAGGAATCTCATCTGCAGGAACTCTGGAGCTTTCATTGCTCCCCTTCTCTCTGGAACAACCCTCTCCAATGACAGGCATGTCCCTGATTACAGGTACATTGTCAGTGTTCCTGCAAACCTCCATTCCAGTCAGTAACATATCTCAAAAGTACCTTTATTAGAATAGCACCTGGCACATCTGTGGAAACCTGAATCTGGAACACTCAACTTATGACCATAATTGAGCCCAGAATTTATGTTGCTAAGTGAGAAATTTATTGAGTTTTGCCCCATTTTACTACTTTTCTTGCCACCGTTGTTAAGCGAATCACTGCAGTTGTTAAATTAGTAACACGGTTGTTAAGTGAATCTGGATTGCCCATTGACTTGGCTTGTCAGAAGGTGATCACATGACCCCAGGACCCTGAGACCGTCATAAAGACGAGTCAGTTGCCAAGCATCTGAATTTGGATCATGTGACCATGGGGATGCTGCAAAGGTCATGAGTGTGAAAAACAGCCATAAGCCACTTTCTTCAGTGCCATTTAGTCACTAAATGAACTGTTTGTAAATCGAGGACCACCTGTACACTTTGTAGACATTCAAAATAAAACAACAGCTCCTTTCTACCATAAAACAAGGTTTTAAAAATAGCCTTCACAGACATCCTAGCTGTGATCAGAGTGCTTTTGTACGAAATTTCTGGAGGATGAAGTTCCACAAGTTTGCTGGATTTACTCATCGGACTCAGCTACGGCTTGATTTAGCCAAGGCTTGTCAGATAAATCACAATTTGTTGGATTCACAAAAGATGTTATGCCATGACCCCCAAACCTCGTTATGACCTAGAGCGGAGGTGGAGAACAATGGCCCCTTCATGACTTGTGGACTTCAACTCCCAGAATACCTGAGCCAGCATGCTGGAGCTCAGGAATTCTGGGAATTGAAGTCCACAAGTCATAAAATGGCCGTCATTCCTCACCCCTGACATAGAGTGATGTGTGAACCATCTTGATTTAAAAAAGAAAAAAAAATTAGTATCTGGATTGAAAGCCTCAGATTTCTTCCCACTGTCAGTCCTTGAAGAAGATCCATTGACTGAGCCCTAGGTGTGTAGGGTGAGAAGGCACAACTGAAGCTAGGAGAGGATCCAACACCAGCTACCCCAATCAGGGACTGCAAATGAAACATTAGGATTCAGACATCCATTCTGAAAAGGAACATGCTGCTGCTCATGATGATGATGATGATGATAATGATGATGATGATGATGATGATGATGGACTTTCTAGAATGTGGAGGTTCTATGGGGCTCCTGCTGAAACTTCCAAAGGCTCCTTCCTGTGCTCAACACACACACAGAAACCGTAAGGAAGAGGCTGATGATGTCATCTCATTCTGTGGCTTTCCAAATCCACTGGCTTCCAAGGCCTTGCTCAGGTTATTCTACTTTACCAAGGAAGCAGAAGAGGCAGGACACTCCTTGCTTTCCCCCCTCCCCTTTTTTTCCCACTGACAGGTGGCTGCCCCCCTTCCAAACGGCCCTGCAGGACCATGGTAAGTGCTGCTTCTAGCTCCTGTATCTGAGGAACAAGTAAAGCTTGATGGATGGAGCCATCTGGCAGGTGGCCTGGAGATTCAGGCTCTGACACCTTCACAGCTGTGGGCAGATGGCACCGCTGCTTTCAGCCAGATTGTATTTGCCTTTGCAGACGCTGTTCGTCAAGGACCCTTTGCGGTAGCAGAATAGCTGAATTGCAAGATGCTTAACAGCCCCTGTGTTAAATTTCCACCCTTTTGGATCGCAGCTGAGCATCTTATCTGCCAGCAGCCACAAGCTTTGGTTGCTTTCAAAGAAACGCCAGCTGCGATGGCTGGGCTAGCACTGGGCTACTGCACCAATTGCCTCAGCAAAGGGGGCTTGTAAAAGCAAGTTGTCCTGCCTTCCACAACCCTGCTATTGTAACTCTGAGAAATTCAGGGGTGTCAAACTGGCGGCTTGTGGGCTGGATGCATCACCTGCAGGCCACGCCTACCCAGCTCCACGAATGGGTCATGAAATGACATGTGACAGCAACGTGACACGGCGAGTTTGGCACCCGTGCAGTAGGGTAAGGAACTTTAGCCGAGGGTCAAAGTTCAACGTCAAAAATGCAGCACAGTTGCACAAAGATCTAACCAGATGACAACACAGATTGGGTTTAAGAAGGGAGCCGGTGAGGGAGCCGAAATGGCAGATCGTGACCAAAGTAAAGGCGGAGAAGAGCTGTAGTACTTGGGGTGAAGTCAGGATGCCGGATGAGACTCTTGTGGAACTTTGCTGGAAGCAAAATCAGAGTTGCTTATCAAAACTAAGAGGCTTTCATCAAAAAGGAAAGGAGGGAGGGAGATTTTTATAACCTGCAGGATAGAGTTGAATGGAGGAGGTCTTGTGGATGCAGTCATAGGCCAAGGATAATGGATATCAGGATTGATCTTGAGCCAGATAACCCAGGGCTGAACCTGAGTCAGAAATAAACAGAGGTAGAGGAATATGAGCTCTGGCTGGTCGACTTAAGCTTTTTCTGACAAGGTAGACGGCACATTTCCCAGAGATCTGCAGGCCAATTTCTGCCACGTCTCTCTGTAAGCAATACAACCAAATCCTCTTTCCTGTCAGCTTCAGGGTGAGTTATTCAATCCTGCCAACCACCATGCTGGCCACTACAGCATCGACGGCTGGAGGCCAAATTTGACTGTCTACAGGCTGCAGGTGGCACAACGGATCTGGCAGGGAAGATTTAAAGCTCCTCATAAGCCTGTGTTTTAACCCCGGCCTTGGAGCCTCCTATAAAACAAGGGAGCAGATGGTTGGCTTCCGCAAGCTACACACCCACCCAATACACAAAGTCCTCTCTCCATCCATCTGCTGGGACCATAGGGAGCTGGGAACTCAGCATCTGTTCCCCAGGGAGGTGTGAAAGTGACAGCAGCAATCACAATCACGTAGACAGTGAGGGAGGGAGGACAAGCCAGACATTGGAATGACTTGATTGTGGGTGGGGGGGTGGAAACACCCTCAAGCAAAAGGCAGACACACATTACACCAGCTAAACGATGACAAACTTTGTGCTTAACTAACATGCTGCATTTAAGAACATTTCTCACCAAGAATCCGTTTCTTCCTTTATTTCCTTAATAGCCCTTCAACCTTTTTTTTTTTTACAGTCCAAGTAAATCACAGATACCAGCAAGTACATTTTCCCTACCTTATTCATACATGGATACCCATACCCATCATTTACCCAATTACCGGTCAAGATTTATTTTCAGCATTTCACTTTTAAATCAACTTAGTTTCTAAATCACCTAAATTTATATTATCTCGTTCTAAATTATCGTTAGGCTATTACAAACCAAGATGTGTTGCTTGGCATGTGGCTGCACCAAAGACAAAAAAAAAGAAAAAGAAAAATGCAAGATGTTTTTCTACACTGAAACCACGATTTCCACACCCTGAGTGCGACTCAGCTTCTCATTTTAGCTGAGCATGAATCATCCGTAGATATTCCACGTGCAAAATGTTCTTCCCAAATGTTGACTCCGTCTGTGGAAGCACATGCACATTGGCATTACATGGATAGGCTCACCGGAGAGTGTGTTTGACACAGCTTCCAGCTAAATACCAAATAAAAACTGAGCTTAATAGTATAACTTGTAGAAGGGAAAATGCCTGGTCTCACTCTCTTCATAGGTCTGAGGAAAAAGCTCTTACTATTTACATCCCAAATGTCTGTCCCTAATCAAACCCACCCTAGATGTCAATTAGGGCTTCCTCTGACAGAGCAGTTTCAGAATAAAGACTGGATTTTGATTTCAGGAACTCCTTCCACCCCCTGGCCATCATTCCAAATGGTGGGCTCATCCTTGGGGTGGTTTATTTCCACATAAACCATATTGCTTGTCAGCTGGTCTTCCATTTATGTCAAGAAACAAAGACCAGCTTCCTGTCACAAAGCAAGGGAAACGGCCTTAAGAAGTGACCAAAGATTGGTACATTGAAGGGTCCATCCTTCAAATGGCTCCCAGCAGTGCTTTCTTGTGTGCAATCACTGCATTTCAACCAAGGAGGGTTACCAGGATTAGCAAACAACCTATGAATCTTGGTCTTGGTTTATGTATGGACATAGAGCCACATTGTTCATTTACAAAATTTTATTGTTTCAACAAAGAATAAAATATAAAACAGAAAAATAAATAGGCGGGAAAGGTCAAGATTGAAACAAGATTAGAGGGTAAAAAAGGAACAATAGAAAAAAATAGAAAACTTCAAATTTTCTTTGGTACCTATACAAATCTAAGCATATATTTTGATAAACAGTTGTAACAATCAAATCCCACAATTAAAAGTTTCATTTCTTTCAGTTTCAAGCAAACAATCCAAAAGTGGTTTCCAGGTAGCAACAAGTCTTTCTTGCATCAAAGTTGCCAATTTTGCCAGCTCTGCCAACTCCATTAATTTCACCATCCATTATTCCATTGTAGGAATCTGTAAATCCTTCCATCTCTGTGCATATAAAAATCTTGCTGCTTTGATCATATAAAGTCCCAGGTTTTTTTCAATCCATAAAACCTAAAAGAAAAATCTTTGGTTTCAATAGCACATTTATTCCAAGAATTCACAAAATAAAGGTACACACCTGATCCCAATAATTGTTACTTTTACATGTCCACTAAAAATAAAATGTATCTTCAGATGCCTTACACTTTTTTGACAATTTATCAGCTGCTAAGTATCAATAGTACATCATCTTATAAAAATTCTATAAATCTTGTATAAAAAACCTGAAATATCACATTGGCGTTAACTATTGAGACCCTTCACCCCGTACTTTGTTGAAGCACCTTTGGCAGCAATTACAGCCTCAAGTCTTTTTTGGGTATGACATGGCAAGCTTTGCACACCTGGATTGGGGGATCTTCTGCCATTCTTTCTTGCAACTCCTCTCAAGCTCAGTCAGGTTGGATGGCGACCGTCTGTGGGCAGCCATTTTCAGGTTCCTGAAAATGTTCAATAGGGTTCAAATCAGGGTTCTGGCTGGGCCACTCTAGGACATTCACGGAGTTGTCCCTAAACCACTCCTGTGTTGTCTTAGCCGTGTGCTTCGGATCATTGTCATGTTGAAAAGTGAACCTTCGGCCAGGCTGAGGTCCTGAGTGCTGTGGGACAGGTTTTGTACTTTGCTCTATTCAGGTTTCCCTCAACTCTGATTAGTCTCCCAGTCCCTGCTGAAAAATATCCCCCACAGAATGCTGCCATCACCATGCTTCACTGTAAGAATAATATTGGGCAGGTGATGAGTGGTGCCTGGTTTCCTCCAGACATAATGTTTAGAGTTGAGGCCAAACAGTTCAATCTTCATCAGACCAGAGAATCTTGTTCCTCATAGTCTGAGTCCTTCGGATGCTTTTTCGCGAACTCCAAGCGGGCTTTCATGTGTTTTGCACTGAGAAGAGGTCTAGCCATTCTGCCATAAAGCCCAGATTGGTGGAGGGTTGCAGTGATGGTTGTCCTTCTGGAACTCTATCCCATCCCTACACAGAATCTATAGAGCTCAGTCAGAGTGACATTGGGGTTCTTGGTCACCTCTTTTACCTAGGCCCTTCTCCACCGATTGCTCAGTTTGACCGAGTGACCAGCTCTCGGAAAAGTACTGGTTGTGCCATTTGAGAATTATGGAGGCCACTATGCTCTTAGGAATCTTCAGTGCAGCAGAAATTTTATTGCAGCCTTCCCCAGATCTATGCCTTGCAATAATTCTGTCTCTGAGCTCTGCAAGCAGTTCTTTGACTTCATAGCTTTTGCTGTGCTACAATATGCACTGTCAGCTGTGAAGCCTTCTATAGGCAGATATGTGCCTTTCCAAATCATGTCCAATCAATTTAATTTACCACAGGTGAACTTCAATCAAGGTATGGAAACATGTCAGCAATGATCAAGAGAAATGGGAGGCATCAGAACTAAATTTCAAGTGTTGTTGCAAAGGGCCTGAATACTTATGTCCTTTGTGATATTTCAGTTTGTTGTTTTCAATAAATTTAGACATTTCTAAAATTCTGTTTTCACCTTGTTATTATGGAATACTGAGTATAGATTAATGAGAAAAAAATGAATTTCAACAACTGTAAAATCTGGCTGCAGCATAACAAAATTGACAAAAATGAAGGTGGTCTGAACACTTTCTGAATGCACTGTAAGCGGGGGGGAAACTTGAATGTAATGCTTGATCAATGGGAAAATATGTGGAGTAAAGGATTAAAATTTACATTGAATTATAACTTGAAAAAAAATATATTGAACCACATTCTTGATGCTGCATTAATGTTCAGAGACTGTTTTCATTTATCCTGGAGAGGGGAAGAAGAATAAAACCCCTTAAAGCTGCCAACAAATGCAGGAAAATTTGAAAAGCTCATTAACAGACTCTCTGGTAGCTAATTAATTAATTGAGCAGTGTTTTCAGTATCTCCAGGAAAGCAGTTTTTGGAGATTGTTTATCGACAGAAAGTGTTTCTACAGCAGGTTTCTGCACTTCTAGGTGGATGCTAGAATACCTCAGGGAACAGAAGCTGTAGCCTGCTGACTTTCTAATAAGTGCCATTGAACTCAGGACTTTTCCTTTAGTAAACAGGTTTGATTTCTTCACTAGCCTTATCACTGGCCTGAGCAAAGTTGTGTTAATTCAGACTCTCTCTCCTCTACTGTGAAACTGTTGCACAGTTGATGCAACACAGTAAAAGATGGTACTAGAGAACAGAAACCCTGCGAAACAACTTACTCCTTCTCTGAAATTAGAACTCTTGGAGTGCGTAACCTAGAAACAAGCTACTTATTTCTGGCACTGATGAGTACCTGCTCTCGGGGAAGAGAGACAAGAAGTGGGCAGATGAGACAGATCTGAGAACTAGCAGTTGCCCAGCATTCCCACCATCCCAGGCAGAGAGGAACAACACAAGGATGGACAGTGAGGCATCGGGACAATTACTGTGCTTGTTCAGTAGGGAATGGGACAACTCACTGTGGCCAACTTGTCACAGCCAATTCACCAAGGTCAACTTACTGATTTCAAGGATAACTCAAACTCTTTTCTAGCTCAATAGCAGGTTTAACCAGCATCTGTTTCATGGCAGGAAAATTGAGCAAATTTTTGTGAATAATTCACGCTACTCAACCTATTAAAACCAGTATATACTCCCCATCATCATAGATGCACATACACTGCCACAAGGTAGCTCAGCTGGAAGTGTGCAGTGTACAAATAGGGTAAGTGAAATAAGCAGAAAACAGCATTTCCCAATCATTAAAAATAAAACACCATACCACAGTCAGTGTTCAATGTCTCCAGTCAATATGTAATGCAGTGTTAGGAAATGTATTTTTTGCTTACAGGGGTCAAGCCGAGCCTATGACCATTAAACTGGCACATAATTTATTCCCTTCCAGAATACATTGGCCCTCAACCACCAGAATTCCCAGGCTGCACACCTGGAAAGGACCAAAATTGGGGAAGCTATCCTAAGTTTCAGGATTTTCACTGTCCTGAAAGGAAACTTCAGGATAAGGAATGGAGCAGATGGCAGACAAAAATAGAAGTCCTCCCTGAAGAATTCGCCCAAGATTCTCTGCCCTGCAGGAAAGTAATTTGACAGCTGCACAGGGCAACCTGCCCACCACTGTCACTGCCTTAGATCACTACTCATCTAGGTCATTTTGTTTGCCTTTTGTGTTCACCTAAAGCCCAGGCCTGCTCTGTTAGGACAATATTTCTTGCTCCAAAATGTAGTTGGCAAATCCCTGGATGAAAGTACTTGAAAGAGCTTCTCTTGACTGTCTTTGATCTCTGGGCAGTGCTTTGTTGAATAGATGGAAATTGCCACATTCTCTTCTCAGGATGGTGGCCTTAGAGATGAAAGCTCACCTTTGTGATTAGCTCTAGGAAAGAAGGATACAAAACAGGACAGGGTCAAACTAAGATGACCAAAAAAAAAAAAAAAGAAAGTATAAAGTTTGGAATGAGAAATTGTCCCAACTTAAGGACCTGCCCTGGAACAATCATACCTCAGTCCTTGCCTTCATTTTTGTCAGCTTCCCCCAATCTGACACTTTCCAGATCTTGGCCTCTAAAGAAGGAAGCAAGTGATCAAACATGTGTCATGACGAAAATCTATGCGCTGGCATTAGATGTTGGGATGCAATTATGCAAATGCGGAGAATGTTATCCCAATCCACTGGTAGAGGCTGGATCTTAAATTCCACTTCTTCTTTTTTTTAACTTTCCTTCCTTATAAGTTAGTGCTACTCATTGGAAGACTGATTTCTAAGAATAAAATGTCACTTTCCTGGAATAACTCTGGATGTATCACAGCAAAGGTGATGTGCAACTCTTCCAGAACATACATATCATCTTTGGCACCTATGCTGCCAAAACGGCACTTTTGCTCCAAGATATGAATATGTTTTGTGATCATCTCAAGGTTGTAGCAAATCTAATTCAAACATTTTGGGAAACCATGTAATTTGCAGAGACGTATGAGGCTCTGCCTGAAATAGCTGGTCCAGCGGAACAGCATAGACCCTGGAAGCTACTTTAATGCCATTCCCAAAGAGCATTTAAAAAGCACATTGGCTGGGGAGGGGGGTGGGTGGACATATATAGCTTTCTAGCCATATAAACACCTACCTCTCTAGCTGAGGAAGGGGTACAGCAGTATTGACCTCCATATGTTTCCGGATGTATTCTCTGGATCTTATATCTGCCTATAGTCAGGGCCAAGAGGAAAATAATAAGAGATTAATTAGATTGACTGGTGCAAGTGACAATTTCTAGGATTCCAGGAGAGTGGGAGGAGGCAGAAGAGACAGAGCTGCTGGGCTCTGACATTACTGTATCGGGTGGGGGGGGATCACCTCACAATTCTCAGTCCTAGTCAGATTTCAGCCAATCACAATGCTGCTTCTATCCCAAAGAGAATTGAGGGTTACCTTCATGATATATTTTGGGACTGAGAAGAAAATGAGCCTCTTCTGCTCACCACCGGTCAAAAGCTTGCAAATAATTTATAAGAAAACCCACGTTGGATTAGACCAAAGGCTCACCTGGCTAATATTATTTTTCAGTTGTGGTCGTGGAAATGTAAGAAGTTTATTCTGAGTCGGACTATGAGTCAAACTACTGTATATAATACTTTAAAAATGTGGTTAGCAACCACACTTCTTTTCTTTACCTAAAAGTAAGGACATCTGACTGGAACAAAACTACCAACATCAGGATGAGGAAAGCTTTCATTTTTTTTACGGTAGCGTCTCTAATTTACAGTGCTAAAATATCTACTAAATAGCAGATTTTCATTTAAGAGTTTGGGAACTAGGCTGGGCCTGCATCAAGAGGAGAAAAGCTTATAACTGATAGCTTCTTATACAGGCCACATTACGATCGCAATCCAAACCAGTTCCACTGTGCTTCTTTTTGAGAGAGAAAGAAGAAGCAAGGGAATGCCAAGCTGCCTCTTTCAAACAATGTACATTTTATTCCATTCAACGCAAACTGAGCAGTTTGATAAGGGCTGCCAAATGCTACCTACATTCTTCACAGCAAAGGAAATAAACGTGTTAATGCTTTCTTTTGTAGGATTGGGTCTTTCAATACATTTCTCTATAGAATTCAATGGTGGGATTCAATTTTTTTCACTACCGGTTCTGTGGGCATGGCTTGGTGGGCGTGGCAGGGGAAGGTACTGTAAAATCTCCAGTCAGAGGCGGTATTTGCTGGTTTCCGGACTACTCAAAATTTCCACTACCGGTTCTCCAGAACTGGTCAGAACCTGCTGAATACCACCTCTGATAGAATTGCTGCCAAATTCTGGAACAAAACCAAATTGGGTGACAGCTTTGGCATCTGGTAGAATTAAACTTGCAGTGGATCTGGGTAAAGGATGAGAAGGTTCAAGAAATTCGACAGCTGTCTGAATTTAAAACGATTCACCTCAATGGGACGTAACAGGTCCTCACAGAACGTATTTTGCAGATGAACGAGAGTTCCCAGACTCATCAGTCTGCTGGCAACAGGAATGGAAGTACAATGCATCTGACAACTGGCAGGATGGGAAAGAAAATCAGGACGTCTAGTAGTATCTTCTCAGATTAACAAATTTTGTTAAAGGCCATTAAAATTTTGTGAGTTGCACTCATGTCATCACTTCACTGTCACCAAAGCCTTTTAATAAAAGTTGTAGTCCTCCTGATTTTTGTCATCATAGACTAACATGCCTTGAAAGAGGGAGGGTGATCTAGAAATACCGAGCTACTCTGGCGAATGATCACAGCAAACAGAGGGAAAAGAGGACAAAATGTACACACACACACACACAGTCAGGTTTCTCAAGCCTGCCATAGCCTCAGAACAGGATCTAATTGAGAACTTCTTCCTCAAGCCAATTTAACTGGAGTAGCAACAAGGAATACCTAGGTATGAAATTAACCTGATGTAAAAAATCATGGAGCTCCAGACGTATTGGCATTCACCTTTGGTTACTCCTGTTCTCTCATTGACTTAACTTCTTATGTGAGCACTCCTTCGCAGGTCCCTTACCCTTTGGCTGCTTTCTTCAATTCCGCTGTACATTCTATCTTCAGCAGCTCTTACCTAATATTTTCATATTCTTCATTTTGCAATGCCTTTCTCTATTTTTTGTGAGATGGATGGACAGGTAGTCAGTCAATGGTCACATGTAGTGTTCCAAAGCAGCCTTCCATTAACCACAGCACTAATAGCCCTTCCTTTGATAAACTTTAAAATTCCTTTTAAGTTTAAATGCCATTCATCTTTCTTTTTCAAGGTGCGTATTCTTTATTCCAGTGATATTATTACAACAAATATGCAAGAATGACCAGGCTGAATGAAAATAACTATCCTAGGACTACCAAATCTGGGCTGCAGAAATCTGAGCAACCACTAGATTGCAGCCAAGTAGCAGTATGCAGAGGTTGGTTTTTATTTATTTTTTTCAGCCCAGACCTAGAATCCCTAGACTAGCTCCAAATCACCTGTGAACTTTCTTTTCAAGTGGATACAACCTTCTTACAACTGTACTGCCTTTTATTTGTTGAACAAAGATCCTTGTGTCTATTTAATGTATGTCTTCTCAGCCAAACTTTTATTTCACTTTCCAAAGAACCAGGACACTTTACAAGTACTCAACAGAGATTATGAATTTCAGGCTGCCATCTGATATATCACAAAATGGGGAACAATGGGGGGAATGGGAGAGATGCAGGCTGGCATCAAATATTAAATCATTTGGTTGAGGGACACTGAATCAATGACCCCTCTAGACCAGGGGTGTCAAACTTGATTTCATTGAGGGCCGCATCAGGGTTGTGTTTGACCTTGGGGGCCAAAATGGGCATGGCCAGCTCGACATCACTCGTGTTGGGGGCACCTGTGGTGGCCCGAGCACTGTGCCAGCGAAAACAAGTTTCCCCGCTCTGTATTCGGCTGCAACAGCCTCCTGCAACCCTTTGCCAGTGAAAATGGAGCTCGGTAGGGCCACAGCCCTTGCAAGCTCCATTTTCACTGGCAGAGGCACCATGGGCTGCTCTTTCAGTGCTTCCAGGGCAGCCCCGTGGGCCAAATCTAAGCACCCCGTGGGCCAGATCCGGCCTCTGGGCCTTGAGTTTGACACTCCTGCTCTGGACTGCCAATGGTGATAGGAACTGCAGTCTTACAGGATCTAGAATGGCATTACTGTTTTAACCTATTATGTTAACTATACTATATGAAAGAACAGATAGGAATAATCCACTATTGGTACATAATGATTCAAGCTTCCAGTGTTAGGGAGCGGATGAATAACTTTCTGTAGCATAAAAGCTTGCATATGTCATGAACGGAGCCAGAGACACAAAAGGCATCTTGCATGCCCATCTTTTGTGAAATGAATGGGGTTTTGAACATTTAGATACATTTGTTATGACAAATTAATTTGTTTTAGATCTGCTTAACAAAATTAATTTACATCGTTTGGCTCCATACCAACAAATTCTATAAGGCAAAAACTGTTGAATACAAATGGCTCGAGCTAACAATTACTGGCAATAAGAGAAGCTAAAAGCCAGTCATTGCCGACATAATTAAATGCCATTTAGCTGTTTGTTTAGTACATATTTCAGCCTACTTTTCTACTTTAAAAGCACCTGCAAAACATGTTAATAACCCAAACATTGGAAATAAAATTTTAGATAATTAAAAACTGAAGATGGCTCTGCAAAAGCAGAGATGACATCTGCAACAAAGACCAAGGAACTGGTGAGCATGCCAATTCCTTGGAACCTCTATGATAAAAAAGAATATTACCCATATTGGCTCCAGATGGCTGCTCCTGGCAAGGAGACCACAGGACAGCCAATTTTCATGGGTTTGAGCATCAGAAGACAATGGGATTGGCCCTTCTGCTCCCAACCGAGGTGGAGACTTTTAAAGGACACTAAGTTTGCTAACCTCACTTTTTAATTTGTCAGAAATTGCTTATTAATTACTCTAGAACTAGATCTAGAGATGGGTTTAAAAAAATCTTCATCTGATGAGTTTATTTTCAATGTTGAACAAAATAAAAATATTTACAACTTTTAGAACTTAAAGAATTTGAAATAAAGTGCAAAGCTAAATAAGATTTTAATCTAAGATAGTTATGAATGGATTGAGGGTCTAGGTAAATTTACAATATTGGAAAATAAGGTTTATGATTTATCTATAAAAAATAAACAACTTCTCGTAGGAAATGAATAGATTTTGTTATCCTGCAATGGCAAGTCAATAATAAAAGATAAGTGATGATTTTAGAAACTGGACATTGGAGGGGAATAAACATTTTAAGCAGAAGAAAAAATACAACCACTGATGTCAGTTAATCCTGAGACTTACAGAATGATACAAAACATTATAACAAATGTTAATATTAAAGGAAATCTTTGAAGAAAGGAGTCAGAAGTTAATAATATCAACTGTCAGTAATGATACACTTCTATGGATAGACTAAAACATGTTAATGGAGGAATGAAAGATGTGAGAAAAATTTTATGGGATAAAATAAAGCAGAAAATATGGAACCACAAATGATAGCCCAAGATAATGATTTGGAAAATAATATGTTACTGGATATACAATAGAAACTGGCCAAAATTTTGAAACTTGAAAATTGAAAGGAAATTTTGAAACTTGAAAGGAAAATACAAATGATTCACCAAGAAAATGATATGGAAAATATGTTCATATGGATTTAGAAAAGAGGCTTGTTAAAGAAATATGTAAGACTGTATAAAGAACTGAAAAAAAAATCCTATGACAATTTTGGATTGAATTAAAGGTTAAGATTGTAAGAAGCAAAATGAAGAAATATATAGTTGCTTTATTTGATCAAGGTTAAAATATTTTGTTATGATGTTCTGGCAACCCTTTATGGACTTTTTGTTGACACCAAGATTGAAAAGTTGATGTTTTATGGATTTGTTTATAGTTAAAGGACGGACTATGGGATGAAGAGATGTCTGTTTAAGTTTTGAAGAGTTGTTATACTTGTGGTGATGAAGGTTGGAAGTCTTTTCTCTATATGTTCCTCTTTTTTCTTTATTATATTCTCTTTTCTTTTTCTCTTTTATTGCACCTTTTATTCTTTCTTTCCATTCTCTTCTCTTTGTCTAAGTTTAGTTTGTATCAGGTTTTACGACTGTAATTAAAATTCTTCATAAAATTATATTTGAGATAATTAAAAACAAAATATAATCAGTTTTGGATGAAAATAAATATGGCTTAAGATCCGAGTCTTACATTAGAGGAAAATCTCTCTCCCATAAGTAATTTTTTTTAAAAAAACTAGTTAGCAAATAACTATTTCTGTTTGACCAAAGACTGGGTTCTCAGTCATGAATGTTGTGCCTCAGAGATTGAAATGGCTAAGTATGCAATTGGTTCAATATCAGGGGTGGGATTCATTTTTTTTAACAACCGGTTCTGTGGGCGTGGCTTTTTTTTTGCAGCAAACCCCCCCACCCCCCCGCACTCTGTATTTGGGTCTCCTGGGCCTCAGGGAAGCCTCCAGGGGAGCATTTTTGCACCCAGGAAGCTTCCCTGAGGCCCAAAAAGGCAAAAAAAATGGAGCGTGGGGGGCACGCAGTACACTCCCTCCACGTGCCCCCTTTTGCCTCCTGGGCCTCAGGGAAACCTCCTGGGTGAAGCAGTAAGACAGCGAGGGGGATCCCGGCACAGTTGATCATCATAACAGCTGATCGTCAGGAGGAAAAGAAAAAAAGAAAAACCTTAACGAGTGACTGGGCGGGGGACAATACAGTCAGCGATGTTGGGCATATGCGCGATGTGGCGCATGCGTGATAAGGACTGACTGGGCAAGGAGGGGAGGGACAGATAGAGAGGGGCGGGGCAGGGCAGCCAGGGGCACAATTTGCCGGTTCTCCGAACTGCACAGAATCTTAACAACTGGTTCTATAGAACTGGTCCAAACTGGTAGAATCCAACCCCTGTTCAATATCCAAGGAATCGCAATGCTGAACATTCCGGCACCTTTCAATAAAATGCCTTGTTTCATTTTCCTGCTTCTTCATCAAACATTATTAATGCCACTTTCAGCATCCACAGCTACCCTCATTTTGCTTCCATGGCAGGGAAAGGGAAGAGCAAAGTGTCCTCTTAGACTGTAGCATCGTTTCACTCCTAACGTTGTGCTAAGACGGCTTAATCTAGCTTATTAACCCAAGAGGCTAATCAATAAGGTGGGTCATGTTGCCTTAATAATCCCCTCAAGTTCGCGTCTATTTTTGGAGTAGGCTAGCAGTGGCATTAGAGACTGGGGATTATGCCAGGAGTATGAAAAAATAGAAAACATCAGGCTGGTCAGATGCCGAAAGCAAGTGCTTTGGTTGCAAAAAGATGGCAGACTTATGACTTCTATCATGTGTTATTGCTATTATCCCAGGGCTGGGAGGCACCTCTTCTTAGTGTAAGCTTTTCTCCACTTTTGGGCTGCAGCCTGACTTTCCCCAGAGAGGAAAGTGGGAGTGGCAGCATGAAGATGCTAATGGGCTGTGAAATGCAAGACATGCTGCAGCAAAGGAAGAGAATAAGGATGGGAGCAAGCAGGGCACAGAGTTGGGTCTGTGTTACAGTGGAGATATTCACATCAAAAGGAACATTACTGGGTGACTAACGTCAGTTTTGGCACATGAAATATTTCTTCCATAAAAAGGCATGCAAACACTGACTCTCTTGAATACTTATGGCTTCTGCTGGAGGCATTAACTATCAAGAACCATGCATGGATCATAATTTCGGCGCTAAGTTATTGAGTTATTTGTTCAGGACTTCTTATGAAGGTGTGTGGGAAAGGAACATGGGAAGCTGTCCGATACTGACTCAATCAGCTGGTTTCCCAGCTTGGTACCATCAACACTGCTCTCAAGGGTTTCCTGCATGCATTTTATTGACCTTATCTGAAGATGGTGGGGAATGAAGCTGACACTTCTGCATGCCAAGCATAAATCATTGAGTCATCTACCATTGAGCCACACTTTTATGGACTGCACCACGAACAAAAATGCAAGCGGTGGTCAAGGGCTGATCAAACACAAGACAACCAGATCCGAGTTGCAAAAATCCAGATGACCAATAATGGAAGTAAAGAGATGCAGAAAATCTTAACTTTTTGCTGTCATCTTGTGGCGTATTGTATTGTGCCTTTCTGCTACAACTAGATTACTTGACGTTTTCCCCATCTAAAATACGCTTCAGCTCAAGAGGAGAACATCTCAACATACTGATTTTTGTTTCCCCAAAACTATTTTGTGCTGGGACCTATAAGGCAGTGGCCCCCAACCTTTTGGGACCGGTTCCATGGAGAGAGGTTTTTCTGTGGACTGGAAGGGACGTGATTTCATGTGCTACCTACATCCTGCGGATGGGGCTTTGTTTGTTTTCACGGCCCGGTTTCTGGAATGCCACAGACCGGTGCCTGTCCAAGGATCAGGGATTGGGAAGCCCTGCTATAAGGGGTTCAGATGGATTCTCTCTTCGGAGCTTAGAATGAAGCTAGCATTTAAGAAGATGCTGACATGGGTACAGTGGCTTATCAATGGCTCATAAATCTGAGCACTCTGACATTAGGAATGGTACCTTCCATTAGAACATCCCTGTCAAACTGCTCTGCTTGAGCTTTTCTTTGCCACAGGTGCACATATTGAAGGCATGGTTGCAACTTTCAAGGCTAGCTTCTTGGCAAGTCTGTGGCCCACGCGTTTTGTGCTAAAATCTCCCCTTGCTCAAACTCTGCCTCAAGGTACATAAATGGTGATCCAGCACTGCCATCCACTGGCTGCATTCTGTCTCAGCAATCTCTGTAGCCTGCAGAGTCCTGGGAGGATCAGCAATATAGTTGGACCAGCAGTTCCTATTCACTGTGCAAGCTATGTGATCCAGGAATTAGTTGTATAGAGTTTTTTGTTTAAATATGGGGTGCTTATTCACAGATAATACATCTCGGCTTCTTAACCCAAACATTTTAGAGATTTTTTTTTCAAAAAGGGATTACCTGGATCCCCCAAAATGGAACAGATACATACCAATTCTGCAGATCCAGGGTAAATTTTAGGTTTAACAAGGAAATGTTCCTTTTTAAAACCTAAAATTTAAAATTCCTTTTTCAATTTCTCTAAAACTGGGCAAGTTTCAACTCTTTGGAAGAGTCTGATATAAATGTAAATTTCATATACATTTATTTAAAATTAAAAATGTTCAATCTATTGCTGGTTTTCAATCAGTAGGAAGCCCAAAGGTGGAAATGATTAGATATTGCTTCTAATTCAGGACCTCAGTCAAACTGCATAATTGCTTATGTAGTCCTAGTTGAACAATGTCATTTTCTACATTTCTAAATCAAGCCCTAAAATGATTTATTTGCACATTTTCAGGAGACAGAATGTTGAAATTAAACAATAGGATTTCTGTCAACTTTCCCCCCTATTTATGACTTTTCAGAAGTATTTGGTGAAGTATTATAGTAAAATAAATGAAGTTCAAAACGATCTGATAGAGCAGAGCTCAGATCACATAGCCCTCATCTAGCTTTCTAGCCTCTTCTAACCAGGGTGTCCTCTAGATTAGGGTGTCAAACTCAAGGCCTACAGGCCAGATTCAGCCCGCAGGGTGCTTAGATCTGGCCCGTGGGGCTGCCCTGGAAACAGTGAAGGACCAGCCCGCAGTGCCTCTGCCAGCAAAAACAGAGCTCGCATGCGGCCCTCCCGAGCTCCGTTTTTGCTGGCAGAGGGTTGTAGAAGGTTGTTGCAGCCGAAAATGGAGCTTGGGAGCCCATTTTCGCTGACAGAGCGCTCAGACCACCACAGGTGACGTCGAGCTGGCCATGCCCACCTCAGCCTCCCAAGATCCAACACAACCCTGATTAGTGGTGGGATTCAAAAAATTTTACTACCGGTTCTGTGGCATGGCTTGGTGGGTGTGGCTTGGTGGGCATGGCAGGGGAAGGATACTGTAAAATCTTCATTCTCACCCCACTCCTGTGGGAAGGTTACCACCGATTCTCCAAACTACTCAAAATTTCCGCTACCGGTTCTCCAGAACTGGTCAGAACCTGCTGAATATCACCTCTGGCCCTGATGCGGCCCTCAATGAAACTGAGTTTGACACCCCTGCTCTAGATGAATGGACTTCTGCTCCTAGAATTCCTAGCAATGGCCATCATTAGTTAGGAACTTTGGGAATTGAAGTCCAAACATTCAGAGTGTTGACCAAGTTGCTTAGCTTGAGGTTGCCAGTATCAGCGCTCTAAATGCACATTCTGCTCATACCTGCCGGATGGGCTCAGGAATCCGATACTTGCAACAAGAATGGACCAGGCGCATAGCCGATAATAGACTTATCTTGTGGCCGACTGAGATGTATATAGGTTTTGTACACTTGGCACAGCTACGCAAGGCCTGGGCAGATAAGAAACAGAGATAACTGCTAGATACATGCAAACTGCAACGTCCAAAGAACATGAATGAACAAGCAAAATGGGGTAGGAGCCATATAAACATCAGACATATATATTTATTGAACCCTTAAGTAGGCAAAATTTCCATAGAGGTCCTGGTTGTTCCAAAGGTGTTTTTTCAAAAGGCAACTGGACTTTGCTTTTCCTTGAAGATGTTTTGCTTCTCATCCAAGAAGCTTCTTCAGTCCTTTCAGCAGTTTCAAGAAGGTTCCACACCCATTTACACTATCCAAGTGACGCTGAGGGCACAGATAAACTTCCATGTGGCCTCAACAACTCTCAGAAAGAGTGCTAATGACCAGATGACTGCAAAGAACATAAATCCTTCCATCTTCCACCATTCAGTCAGAACTGAAGAAGCTTCTTGGAGGAGAAGCCAAAAGTCTTCAATGAAAAACAAAGTCCAGTTGGCGTTTGAAAACGCCCCTTTTGGACTTTACAAAGGCAATGTGTATGTGCATGGTGTATGTGCATCTGCATATGGTACACTTCGTACCAACAGGAAAACACTGAGTTCTGTTTTTCCTTCTCTTTTTCCCTGCTAGGTGTCACTTCTATTTAACAAAATAGCTCTGTGGAAAATTCTAGCTAGACAATGGAAGGAGAAGCTGGATTTTGAAATGGAAGAAAGAAAAAGGTGAATATGTAGCATCCATTCATTCATTTATTCACTCACTCATATTTATTAATCAGTTTTCTATAATCACCCCAATGTCTGATACTTAAGACAATGATCAAAGACTGCTTCAGTGACTGAGGATAAATTGATCTTTCTTTTTTACTGCACTCATTTCTTCAGACTCTTTCCACTTCCAATAGACAGACACTGCCTTCCCAAAAATGCTTACCATACCCAAGATTTTCCCAGAGGTACTTGTCAGTGGGAATGCATCTCCTCCTGCCTGAAGATCTTGAATCTGGAATATGGAGAAATTTTTTTTACTACAGCAGATGTGTTGGGACCGATGAAGTAATTGGACCAATTCAAGATTAATTCCTAAACTGTAGCCTTTTCTGTAAAAATAAAAAAGAGAGTATCAGTGTTTCTTTTTCCATTGCTGTTCTGTACAGCAGAGGTCCCCAACCCTCAGTCCGAACTGGCACCAGTCCGTAGCATACCCACAACCAGGCTGTGCAAACAAGCGAAGCCACATCCATATAATGTAGGCAGCATGCAAAACCATATTCCCTCGGGTCTGTGGAAACCAGTCCCTGGTGTACAAAATGTTGGGGGCCAAAGCTATACAGGACATCTCTGAATAAAAGTCTGAAACCAAAATAGCTTGGCTGAAATTCTCCTTTAAAGGTTATATGCATAGAAATCTGGCTTCCCTTGCAGTAATTTTCATGTGTCAAGACCATGTGTCAAGACACACACACAGCAGGAAGGTATGGTTAACTGTGGTTTTTTAAACACACAGTGGGCAGTGCATCTTGTTCACTACATAATTCATTGTCAATCAGTCTGAACTTATTTCATCCTGTAGGTTGCCATCATTTCCCCACTTTAAATGGGGGAAAAAACCCAGAACAGCTATTTGTACATATCAGCTTCTCCAATTTTGACAAGATGTTCTTCTAACATCCCCCCTACTGTTTGAAATTAAAAGTGTGAAATGTATTTCACACATTTCAACACTTACTTGTTTCTTGTGAAGCTCATCATTGGCCAAACCTTCAACCTGCAAGAGATTTTTGGCTACACCAATACAGGGAAGACCTGTGAGAACACCAAGATGGCAGGCAACGCCAAAACCTGTTGAATATAACGCAGGAGGAGATGATGTTGGAGAAAAAACTGGTAAGAAAAGTTTCAATTTTGTTGTGAAGAGAAAATCTGGCACTACTTTATTTTTGAACAAACTCCCAAAGGAAGGGCAAGCCACAAAGGACATAAGGCTGCTGTCAACCTTGCCATGCATTTCTTGATGTTCACCAAAATGCCTTCCAGTTACTCTGCTGTTCCCTTTGGATGTGGGGGGAGGACAGCCTTTTCACTTACTGTCAGCAAGAAGGCTAGTACAGCCTACGAAGAGGAGATGGAATTATTTTGTTTGCCCCTTCTTCCCCAAGAGCTCTACAAACACTACAGTAATGAGAAATCAACTAGTGACTCCCCACGCTGGCATATTCAAGGCATGCTCTAAACATCTTAGAGATGGGAAGTAAATCTCAAGGATTTACTTTAAATCTACATGCAAATTTACAGTACAGTAAATCTAATGGATTTAGTAGCAAGGAAGGGCCAGGAAACTTACCTCTGTGGTGCAGGATGCCATTTCCATCTACAAGAAGCACCTAGGGGAAACCCCCCCACACAAAGGAGTACTTCAATAATAGGCAATACAGTGGGAAGCTTTTTCATTTATGGAGGTGTCAGTGTTGCCTAAGTTGGTTTGCATAAACAAAGTTTCAAAAAAGCAGGCAAATACCCTTGGTGGCCACCTTCCCTATTTTCCGCAAGTAAGAAAGAAGCGAAACCTAGTCACAAAATCTGTCACTAAAAACATTATTGGGTCTGAATACAGCAAGGGCATTATTTGTCCTCTTTCGAGATCAGATATATATAAATTATCATTCTCAAGCCAATGCAAGTTATGGCTGTCCAGACTGGGAATCGTGGGACTTGTCATCCCATCACATTTGCAGGGTGCTTTAGTTCCAAGTATCCCTTTTTTGCATCTGTTTTAGGAGAGAAAAGCTGCTGGGGGACTCAAATTGTGCTGTCTTGGTGAGCTAGGGCCTTTCACAATTTCTTAAAATGAAGCCTCTCTAGCTGTTTCAGGAACGGTGCTTTTTATTCTGACAGGATGACTCAAAAGAGGGTTTTAAACTAGGTTTGAGCAGCTGTCCTTTTGGGTCTGAAGAGAAAGATCATAGAACCATAGAATAACAGAGTTGGAAGGTCAATAACTCCTTGGAGGTCATCTAGTCCATCCCCTTGCTCGAGCAGGAGAGTCTATTCCAAATATTAGCCTCTTCCTAGGATTGAACTCACAGCCTCCCAATTGTGAGGCGAGAGCTCCACCTCTAGGCCACCGGAGCTGCATCACAGAGAGGTTCTTAGGATTTCTGTCCTTCAAGTAAGAGAAAAACAGTCATTTTTAGGGAACATCCATATCCACAGGTTCTAAGTTTCGAAATGCTAGGGGTCAGAAGTCTTGAAGCCCTGGTTATTAGTTCTTTGAAGGAGGGGAATGCTGTATGAAATATATCCTTGGCATAAAGCAGCAGCACTCCTTTCATTGACAAAAACTTTCCCACCTGGGGCTTGAGGCCAGGCTTCTGTGTCTCCAGCCGCTGTACAGCCTCCAATAAAAAAGGGACTTCTCGGAAAGCCAGGAATCCTGCCACATAGGGGGCATTCACAGCCACCACATAGCAGTCTTCGTAAAGGACCTATGATAAAACAGAAGAAAAAGTGACATTTTGGCTAAGGAGCAGAAGACTAACATTTTCAAGGTCATTTAGGTCAGAAGTGGTCAACCACAACCCTTGAACTGAATGGAGCTCCCAGTTGCCATTTGTCATGCCCCAAACAAATAAGGGGTTCAAATGTAACCTTCTCATGTGTTTGCAAATGTAAAGTGAGAACAGATACAGGCATCTACTATCATTGCAATACCAGATTGATCCCTTCAGTTCTAGAGAGTGCTTTAAAATGATAAGTAAATAAATATTTATTTAAGTATTTACTTAAAATATTAAGCAAGGAAATTGAAGTTACTAAGGGAGATAGTCAAACTTTTGGAAACTTGGGAGTTTCAGTCTTCTTAATATATTAATCCTAGATGTTTAAAAAATTCCTTGTTATGTCTTTGGTATTTATCTTTGTTACCTCAAGTTCTGGGTAGCTGAGCACCACCAATGAAGCACAGGCACGTGTGGCATCTTCTTTGAGATAAGACAAATCCATTCCTCCAACTCTTTCCAGTCCAGCAAAGGAGAAATTGCTCTGCCATTCCTCTGTGTCTTGTTCAATCACATCTTCTTTCATCTGGATTTGTTGACTACAGAATACAATAGGACTAGATAAAACCTGCCAGTTCCTAGCATCATTTAAGGCAAAAATCACTATGGGTGATATAAAAAGTGGTAGAAATTGAAAAAAGAGAGGGATACATATATGTAAACCAAATTATGCTTCCAGAATAGAATATTGAACTATTCTGAATTTTTTGAAAAAGATTTTTTCTCAAATGGATAATTATGAATGTTTATCAGTTTCAAAGAACTTAAGAAATGACCCTATTCCTTGCCTCCACCACTAATCCACTGAAGAACATAAAAAAGACACATGAATATGGCAATCTGTCAAATACAATATTCAGATCCCACTGTGGTTGACCAGATGTGGGGATTCCACAAGAAACAAACCCAATATCCTGCCCAAGTTGACTAATAACTGGTATGTGGAAGCCAGAGGTGGTATATTCAGCAGGTTCTGACCAGTTCTGGAGAACCGGTAGCGGACATTTTGAGTAGTTCGAAGAACCGGCAAATACCACCTCTGACTGAAGATTTTACATTATCCTTTCTCTGCCACGCCCACAGAACTGGTAGTAAAAAAATTTGAATCCCACCACTGGTAGAAGCATATTGCCTCTTATACTGGGGCTAACATATCTCTAATGTCCTGGTGGTAATAATCCCACTGATCAATTCATAAACAGGGATCCTGGGGTAGGTTGGGGGGTCTCCAAATATGGAAAACTTGTGACCTTCCGCCTACTTATTGAGACTAACAGGAATGGGAGAGCTCAGCATCCGAGATCTTATTTTAAGTATCCTACAGTGGTTTCTAACATTTTCTATCTTCTCTAGTGTTCATGGAATGATCTGAGCTTCCAGGACTGTGCAACAGAGGCACTTCTCCCTTTTCACTAATTCTGTATCAGATCATGTTGTGATCCTGATTCTCTACCCCAAATACTTTGTTCTATGCTGAAAGATTCTACCTGCACTATATTTTTCTCCAAAGAAGTTCTGCTCCAGCTTCTGATTTTTACTGATTTGTGCTTCCACGTTGATGGCGAATGTTGATGGATTGAAGGACCCTTTTCAAATGGTGGATTAATGTCATTAAATTTAAAGCAGGGCTGTGTGGTGATCTGGACTTCAAAGGGAGAAAGACAGGAAAAGATGTGCTCCTGTGACACGAGGGCTTCTTCCAGATCAGGCTCCCCTTCCTTTTTTTAGCCTTTGAATCAAGATCACAGCTTGGCCCTAGTATAGGGGTCTCTAACCCTTGACAACTTTAAGACTTGTGGACTTCAACTCCCAGAATCCCCCTGCCAGTCATGCTAGCTGAGGAATTCTGGGAGCTGAAGTCCACAAGTCTTAAAACTTTAAGGTTTTAAGGTTGGAGACCCCCCCCCCCCGGCCTAGCAGAGAAACCGGGGAAACGCAGCTGACGATGTCTAGACCCGCAGCCCCAATTCGGGGAAGGAGGCACCACATCACCTCATCTGCAGGCTCCGGGCTGCTAGCATTCTCGTCTAGAAGGGAGACCCTTTCAGCTCAGGCCAGCGGCCTCCAGCAGCTTCCCTTCTAGGCTGGGGGGTTTTAACTTATCGCGATTCCCGCTCCCGAGAACCCAACGCTTCCCTCCCGTTCTCAACCCGCCAGGCAGGGGGCGCCCGGAGGCAGGCGCCCTTCCCTCGCTCTTTGGCCACGAAGGACTCAGGAGGCGAGGCTAAGACCCAGCAGCTCAAAAGAAATACAAATCCCAGCTTCCCCGGAGGCAGGAAGACCTCCCCGAAATCTTCTGTAACCCTGGTTTCCCCCCGGCTGGCATTTTTACCGTTCCCAGCGCCGCAAAGTCTCCCCTTCTTCCTCCCTTGTTCCCGTCCCGTCCGCCATGGCGTCCCTCCGCACCCTGGGTTTTTTCTACTTCCTGGGGTTCCTCCCGCAGGGTTCGCCGCACGATTGCAGCGCTCGGCCTCCGTCTGTCCCTTTGGCTTCCTGTTTGCACCAAAGGGCGGAGGGATGAGCGACCGGGCTGGCTCGGGATCCGAGGACTGGCTCTGCTCCGTCCATAGCGGCAGCTACGATCCTCAGCGTTTTCGACTGAGAGCGTCCACAGCCCCGCTCCCGCCGTGTTACGCGCTTACTTAAGGCTGCCAGATCTGGGCTGCAAAAACCCCCACGACTAGATGGCAACGGAGTGGTTTTGTATGTCTTATCTTCCAGATTTAGCCCAGATGTGGCAGTTCTAGTTTAACTAGTGGCTTTGCAATAAACCAGCGCTTGTGAATAGATCCAGAAATAACACCCATTCTCGAGCGATAGCTACGTGTAATTAAAGTTGGTTGAGGAAACAAATGAAGATTCCACTCTCATTAATTAAAATGAAAGGAGAAATTGCCATTAGAATATATGAAGAGCAATATCTTCCCCATTTTATTTATTTTTTATTTATTTATTTATTTGATTTGCCAATTGTTTACAAGATAATAAGTATAAGTGTATACATAGTTGTGAATACATGAAATGGGTACATATAAGAAAGATAAAAGAATAAGAGAAACAATAGGACAGGGACGGTAGGCACGTTGGTGCGCTTATGCACGCCCCCTACAGACCTCTTAGGAAAGGGGTGAGGTCAATAGTAGACAGTCTAAGGTTAAAGTTTTTGGGGTTTGGGGAAGAAACTACAGAGTCGGGTAGAGTATTCCAGACATTGACCACTCTATTGCTGAAGTCGTATTTCCTGCAATCAAGTTTGGTGCGGTTAACTTTGAGTTTGTATCTATTGTGTGCTCTTGTGTTGTTATGGTTGAAGCTGAAGTATTCATTGACAGGTAGGACATTGCAATGTATAATTTTATATACCATGCTTAAATCAGACCGAACACGGCGTAATTCAAGGTTTTCTAGTTCTAGAATTTCAAGTCTGGTGGCATAAGGTATTCTACAACGAGTAGAGGAGTGGAGAACTCTTCTTGTGAAATATTTCTGGACTTTCTCAATTGTGCTAATATCAGATACGTAATGTGGGTTCCAGACTGATGAACTGTATTCGAGTATTGGTCTAGCAAATGTTTTGTATGCTCTGGTTAGTAGTGTGATATTACCAGAGAAAAAGCTACGTAGGATTAGGTTAACAACTCTTAATGCCTTTTTGGCTATGTAGTTGCAGTGGGCTCTAGCACTTAGATCATTAGAGGTGAGTATTCCAAGGTCCTTTACAGAGCTTGGGTCATCAACAAGATCTTGACTATTCAGCTTGTATTTTATTTTCTGATTTTTTTTGCCAATATGTAAGACAGAGCATTTATTTGTTGAGATTTGAAGTTGCCATTTGTTTGACCATTCTGATACATAGTCAAGATCTTTTTGTAGGGTAGCAGTATTGTCTGTGGTATTGAACAGCTTTACATCATCAGCGAAAAGAACGCAATTGCTCTTAATATGATCACAGAGGTCATTTATGTAGAGTATGAAGAGAGTTGGTCCTAGAACACTGCCTTGGGGGACACCACTATTGACAGGTACAGAATTTGATAGGACGCTCCCAATTTTGACCATTTGTTGTCTGTTTGCCAGGAATGCTTCTATCCAGTTATTCAGTTGTCCAGAGATACCATAGGATTTTATTTTTAGGAGTAGTTTGTCGTGTACCACTGAATCAAAGGCTTTACAGAAGTCTATGTAGATTGCGTCTATTGCTTTGCCCTGGTCGAGTTGTGTCGTCCATATGTTTTTGCAGTGTAAGAGTTGCAGATTACAGGATAGTTTTTTTCTGAAACCAAATTGTTTATTGGAGAGTAGATTGTTTGTCTCTAAGTGGAGGATGATGGATTGGTTAATAATTGATTCCATGACTTTACAGGTGATGCAGCATAAGGAGATTGGTCTGTAATTTTCAACTAGGCTTGGGTCTCCCTTTTTGAAGATGGGGATAACTGTGGCTTGTGACCATAGGTTAGGCAAGGAGCTGGTCCTGAAAGATTTTTCAAAGATTATGCTTAGAGGTTTGGCTATGGCAGTGGATAGCTTTTTTAAGAAGTAGGCACATATTCCATCCGGTCCAATAGATAGAGATGGTTTTAGATTGTGTAGTGCTTTTTCAACATTGTCTTCTGTAAAATCGATATGTATTAGATCATTGTTGTTATCTGTGGTACGGCTAGGAAATACTGGGCATGATCCATTGCTGTTTACAAATACTGAGCCGAAGAATGTGTTAAAGATGTTGGCTTTAGTGGTGTCGTCGTTGCAGTCTTTACCATCAGGTCCTATCAAGGGTGGGATAGACCTTGAGTCTTTTAGTTTGTTGTTTACAAAATTGTAAAAAGCACGGGTGGAATTGGTGCTTAGAAGGTTTTCCTCTTGTTTAATGTGATAATTGATGCTTCGGTCTTTATCTGGTGGCATAAATTTTTGTATCGGCTTTTGAAATTGGCAACGTGACCAGATTTGTTTTTCCGCCAGAGTGATCTCTTTTTGGATTGAAGTTTCCTTATTGTTATGGGTAATCTGCTTTTTTGTTTTGTTTTGGGAGTTGTTGTTGGTACATATAGTTTGATGACTCTTTTGACTTCAAGTAAAAATATGTTGTAATGGTCTTCAACAGTATTGCATCCAGTGAATAGAGATTGCCAATCAAGGGATGAGAGATCGTTGTCTATAAGATAATAGTTGCCTTTTTTGAAGTTACAATTGGGGATTACATCATTGTGGTGATTTATGTGTCGGCGTATGTTGAGACAAAAGTCAATCATATTGTGGTCACTGCTGGAAAAGGGTTCTTTAGTTTGTATTCCGTAAATTAAATTCAAACTATTGCAGAAGATGAGATCGAGGCAGTTGTTTAGTCTAGTGTTGTTGGTTACTAGTTGTTCCAGTCCCAGATTTGTAATAGCATTGTAGAAGGTTGTGTGTATGATTTCAGTTGTACAATCATTTAGGGTCCAGTCAATATTTTCCTTATGGGTGGCAGGTTTGGTGACTTCTTTTGCACCAATCAGTAGAATGTGTGTAATTGATATCCTAATTCTTGTAGAAGGTTCAAGAAGATTCCTGTCTCTGAACAAATTAAATCTATGGTTCATGGATTATATTAACATAGCACAGCTCCCTGTTTCGAAGACATCTGGTAAAATTGTTAATGGTTTTAGCTACTTGTCAATTAATTAAATGACAAGTAGTAAAACCAAACCATGTTCTCCAGCTCAAGAAAGGTGATGTAAGTGCAAGGTGTGCTATAGAAAGAATAAGGGACACAGTCTGAACACTTTTGTAACAAGGACTTTTTAATAAAGGGGGAAAAAGACTAGAAAGTAATTTTTATAAATTGCAATTTTTGAAGACTAAAAAAATAAGTCAAGGCATACTCTGTTCTCTGGCAGTACAGCAACCTGTATTAAGACATCATCCTGGCACAATTGAAGAAAGAATAACAAGCTCAGTTTCTTTAAGTTCAGAGAGGGTTGAAATGACAATGCCTAATGCATAACTTGGTAGAAATGTCAATTAACTATCAAAACTAAGAACTATTTAAATACAGTACATATTTATCTTTGACAGCTAAAAACTATCAGTAGATATTGGTCTTTATCTCGCAAGAGCATCTTTAAACAGGAAACATATTAATTTCCACAGCTTCTTAGAAAAAAAGACGCAGTAAATCAAAGGAAGTGCAACCTCACAGCCTATTTCAAACTATCAGTAAACATGGTTGGGATGGTTCACTTACATATTTGCTTGATTCTAACTACTTGCTCAGATACCTAGTCTCAGAGTGTATGAGAATTCAGTGTATGAGAAATTATGTCCCTGATTAAAAAAAGATAACTTTGGTAGCGTTTAGAAAATCTAGGAAAGTTGAGGGAAAGAAGTTTGTTTCTCTGCCCCCTGCCAATTCTAAAACAGATTAAAGAGGAAAGTTTATAATGAAGTCTATAAAGCCAAAGTTATAGCTGTTACATGGTCCTTTTAGAAATCTGTAACAATGAAAATCCTTTGAATGCAATGTACTTATCCAACTTCTATTTCTTAGAAATCCTTCATTATCTAAAGCACCAATTCCTTTGTGTTTGTGCATCACTATTTATTCACATTTAGCACCATGATTTAGGATCACCTTACATACAAAAACTTGTTATCTCCTTCATTTCTTTTTGTACAAGTATAAAGAAAACCCAACAATTAAATACACTGCTCCGCTCATCAGTGAATGGAGGGAGACAGGAAAAGTGCCTGGATTAATTTCCTGGGCCGCATCCACTCCGTTTAAGAGTAGCAGCTAGTTTCCAGGCAGCGATACACTGGGAAACCAGGATATCTTCTGGGAACATATCTTCCAAGTCCTGAAGCTCACTGCTACCTTTTCCTTCAAGATATGGAACAAGTACTTCTTTCAGGCTGGAAAAAAAAAAGGAAAAACAATGAGTCCAAAACAGGAAGATACTCTGCAAAACAAGATGTATTTCACTCTAAAAACCAAAAGGGTTGGGCTGCTCACACTCTTACCCCCACGTAGGACTGTACTCTTCTCCAACTTTGGCATGTTTCAATTTCAGCATGATCATTTCGTGCAACTCCTGAAGGAAGGGCTCCAGCCCTGTCTGAGTGAGGAAAGCTTTGAGAAGATTGATACTATCCACGTCGAGTTTCTTTTTGTAGGCTGCACTGATCTCTCCAAAAGGATCCTGGATAATACATTAGGAGGAAGAGACGGACAGAAATGGTTATGTGGGGAGGAGAGAGAAAACAGTGGCAAGAAATGTCTAGTGAGCACATCCTTATCCCACATCCTACCTTTTTCAAATGCAGCAGCTGTTCTGATTTATGACTAGAAAGGAGCTGCCACAAGGAAATGGCATGATTTAGCTGACATCGGCTCAGTGCCTGAAATGAACACACACACACACACACACATATAAAAGTTTTATTTTTTTTTGCAAATGATAAAGAAAATGTTAATTCTAAATGGCATTCATGGAAGGCCATTTAGGTAATTAAATA